CTCTCCAAGGAAATGGATTTTTCGCTACCTCAGGAATTGGATTTCCGCATGGAGGCAGAGAATGCCAGGAGGGCTAGTGAATACTTCAAGAAGCACTCGGGTGCTCCGTTAGTTATTCCGGAAGGTTTGTCCTCAACTATAGCGGTGAAACAGAAATTCAGTAGCTTTGCTAACGCCTTATCAGTCATGTGGGCGCAGAAACGAATTCTGGTTATGGAGTTCCTCTCTGGCCATCGTCCGGATGATCTTGAATATTTGGACTCCAACCATATTGACCGCGACGAGGTTTCCGCCGCGTTCGCGCATATCTTCAACGAGATGATCTTTGGAGACAATGCCCCGTTACACTGCGATCCCCACGGCGGCAATATTGCCATTCGCAAGAACCCCAATCGACGCCGTCACAACTTCGATATCATCCTCTACGACCACGGCCTGTACCGCGATATCCCACGCGACCTACGCCGTAACTACGCTAAGCTCTGGCTGGCGGTCATCGAGGCGGATGAAGGCCGCATGCGCGAGTATGCGCGCAAGGTCGCAGGTATTACGGACGAGCAGTTCCCCCTGTTCGCGAGCGCGATCACCGGACGAGATTACACCGTGCTAGCCAAGAAGGATGTCGCTTCTCCACGCACGGCTGCCGAAAAGGAGAACATCTCTGGTGCGCTCGGGGAGGGCATGCTGCAACAGCTTGTTGAGTTGTTGGGCCAGGTGCCCAGGATCATCCTCTTGATTCTGAAGACAAATGATCTGAGTAAGTTATGCTCGCTCGCAGTGCACTCATTTCCATCTTTCTATTTTCTTGGAATTCCGGCTAACATCGCCTGCTCTCCACCTTCAGCCCGTAGTCTGGACGAAAATCTACATACCCGACAGGGTCCCGTACGCACATTCCTTATCCTGGCCCGCTACGCCACTCGTACCGTCTTCGAAGAGAAGATGGAGGACATCAACGAGACCGACGGCATCTTCCGCCCGCTCAACTTCGTCCGGTTTCTCTGCGCATGGACAGGGTATCTCCGGGTTGAGCTGAAACTGTCCGTCTACGAGACTCTGCTGTCTCTGAAAAGTCGGCTCGGGTTGATCGGATAGAAGAGCGGCTATCTCTTCTTCATACGGTTCGACTTTCTCCAGTCCGACGTGCTTGTAACCCTGTACACTTTTCTTCACTCTTTATCATCTAGACGGGACTGATCGGATGGGTCCGGTCTGTTTGTGCATCATCAGCGACGGCGTTTTTCTCTTTTCCCTTTTCCCTTTTCTGTTTTCTCCACATGTATAGAGATTTGTACAAAGATCTTTTTTGTAAGTCTAGACGTCTTTTATTTTTAGATAGATCGAATATCTGTTTACTTTTGTCTGATACCTCATAGTCTAATGCGATACCTTGCTTACAGAACGGCTCCAGGGCGTGCCGAGTACGAGTCTACTTACAGCCCATGTGACAGGGCCGTTGTGAAATGAAATCATATCACACAGAGATGCACATTCTTATTGACGAACCTATGACTGAACAGACTCATGATCGTGATGCATGTTTAAGGCAGAAAAAAGTAAAAGGCATGGGGGGAGAAATGAGAAAAGAAAAATATACATAGACAGGATTCAATCCGTCAGTTGAATCCAATGGAGCAACGCATGCTTTAATGATTCAAGCAATCTGCAGTCTCGGTACGCCAGTCAATCGAACAAATAAACCTAACAGATCTCATCTGGTATCGCCGTAATAGTGTTTGAATATATTGTTACTTTTCATGCTCAAAGCAGATCACAGGCTCGCGGCGCTACCCTCGGTCTTTTCCACGTTGGGAATGGAAGCCCCAGTGCCAGAAAGGTCAGTCTTAGCGGCCTTGGGGTTCTTCGTATAGTAGTCGTTGATGGCGGACTTGATGGCGTCTTCAGCAAGCATGGAGCAATGTAACTTGACGGGAGGTAGGCAGAGTTCCTTGGCAATGTCGGTGTTTCGGATCTTAGAGGCCTCGTCAAGCGTCATTCCTCGCACCAACTCGGTCAGGTAGCTAGAGCTGGCGATCGCGCTACCACAGCCGAAAGTCTTGAACTTGACGTCGGTGATCTTGCTGGTATCCTTATCGACCCGGATCTGAAGCTTCATCACGTCACCGCAAGCAGGTGCACCGACCAGACCGAGACCGACATCAGGGGCATCCTTGGGTAGTGAGCCAACTAAAAATATGTCAGTTCCTGCAGAAGCATGTACATAGTTGAAACAAGTTCTTGAAAAATGCTGGAACTTAAGATCCTCCTCGAGCGCATAGGAGACAGATGGAAGTTGATTTGCCATAACGGTCTTCTCGTAAGAGCGTTGTATAGTGATAGATTCGTTGGAAGAGTCGAGGTCCAAAACCGATCAGGGAGCCCTCTCAGGTGTAGAAGACCGCTTATAGATTCTCCCCGTTGTAGTATCCGTCTTCATTTGATGGAAGTTCGCTGCGCGGTCTTGACAGCAGACTTTTCGAAACGAGAAAGACCACAGCTGACGATTCATCTGTCTCCCACCGACGCTTCGAGGGAAGAAAAAGGAAAGAAAGCAGCACATCAAGATTGGCAAACATACCGTTGCGTGGATTGTTGTAATGATCTAGCAGTGCAAAGAAGGTCAGCATTTGACTGGCCCGGACGAAGCATCCAAAATTCATCGATCTACTTATCTTTCTCGTGATAACTTCTCCTCTGAGGAGCAGGAGACGCCCTGTTGATGGGTTGAGCCTGGATGGCGGAAATGGCCGGCGTAATGCGAGGCGACACGACAGTGCCGACTGAGCGAGGGGCGACAGTAGCCAAACGGCGGAACATGGTTGATGGATGTGTGTTTGATTTTCGTATAGCTAGCGATTAAAAGGTGATGCGCGGTTGGGTTGATGATGAGGCAAAAAGAGATGCTGATAGAGTATGATGATGTACCCGAGGTTGTGATGTCGACGAAAGATCGATTAATTATTCTTCGGGGTTTCGCCTGTGCTCTACATGCGCTAAACCCAATCCAGCAACACCGTCGCCTCCGCTCCGTCCGGCCTCGGAGATAATTACACTATGACGTTCGGGTGTGTTCGCCATCAATTGTTTTAACTAGAATAGGCACTAAAATGCCGACTCCAAGAGCTGATTAATTGATATTGAACATCAAATCAGGACTGGCTCCCTTTTTACAGTGGCCCACTGATCCAAATTGTGGTACTGTTTTCTACGACGGTGTTCTAAGGCGATTCTAGCACAGCAAAGAAGCTGGACGCGGAACTGATTGATTACCCCCACGATACCGTGGCTGAGAATTCTGMAGCCAATAGGAGCCTGTAGTTTGGTACTGTTTCACGTAATTAATTGCTTATCTTCGCGCCCTCCATCTGATAAAGGCCCTCAGGGAAAACATTACGCCGGTATCCGCCGACCTTCACATCACCAAGATCTGCCTTAAGACATTGAATGGATGCAGTCAAGACGGTTGAAGCCATCTTACCATGACTCGAAAAGGAGGAACCGGGAAACCCTTGGGGAGGACAACTGGGGTAAGTACAACTTATTGAATAGCCTTCCAGCGCTGTCACAGCTCTGTCTCACAAGTGGCATTCTTCACCGATTGCCCTGTAGTAACAACATAGTAGTCTCTCAATGCTCCGATAGCTGCCTTTACCATGGCAATTATTCTATGCTCCTACTGCATCAGTTCCATCAACTCCGCTCGCCGCGAGGCACAATCGTCCCCAGTCACCGGGCCTACAAGGGCCCAGAAGTTCTCCGTGGAAAAGTCTGACCAATCATGGGTACAGCAGGCATTAGAAGAGAGCAGAGATGCAGAGCAGCGAAGTCGGTCAAGGTAGTCTTTGCGTTGGATTTGTATAATAGCAAGAAGCTTGATACTGAGTCAAAAAGAAAAAGGAGTCCAAGAAAAATGCTCACGATCGTTGCGGCTTGGATTCACATAATGATGCACTAAAAATATCTGCGGTAATCCTTCCACACAATGCGTCATTGTCAAGTTCATCTCTCCAAGTCCATGATCAGAATTTTCAGTGTATGTGAATAGTCATATCCAGAGTATATTGTAATCTGGATCTACCATTTCATTTGAATGTTCATCATATCAAAGGAAAGTCGAGAATAACTTGAAGACTCTGCCCTCCTCGAAACACAACATACACAGATTGATATCTGCAATGATGACCTGGTTCAGGTTTAAAATAACATCTCATGATGACAATAAGTAATGTAACCGTACCCCTTCATGAAAGGCAGGCATTGCATGAACTTTTCGCTGTTACAGGCATGTTGTTTTCTTTTAAGGTGGAGGGAAATTTGCTCAAAATTTGAGCAGGCAGTAATCTGTCGCTTATTTAACCACGTGATTTAGGGTGACATCATCTAGCTGTACCTTAAAAGTAAAAACAAACACTTTACCTCTCTATAGAGAAATCATCTTGGTGTATTTGAGGGCGATCGACTGAGTCTGCGTATCGGAAGATTGCCCAATGCTTCGTATTATCTAGAAAAGAACCCAATAGCACAGGTAGGGCTATCTAGCTTGCTGACGGTAATTTCGAGGAGTCGAGAACGTCGGTATGGTTTGAATAATAATGTATGCTTGTATGTACAAAAATGCAGATCATGCAACGGAGCCGTCAAGGGTGAAAAAGATGACAATGCGACAAGGAGATCGCTCTATAAGATACATATCCTGCAGAGCATGACGACAATATGACAGTGAGTCCATGAGTCCCACAAATGTCGTAGCGACGACCATTGCTGTCAGACCTTTTGCTGGTGAGCGGAGCGTAGGACAGCCGAGTGATCGCCCACTGCTCCAGGGCACCAACTGTAGTATGGTCAAAGCTGGAGATGGATGGGTACATATTCCGCTCAACTGGCCATCTAGTGAGAATAGAAAGCCCGTGAGTCACCTCTTGGGGGGGTTAATATTGCATTGTTCAACTGAAAAAAGGAAAAGAACAAGACACGTCTAGTATGCACCATTCGCTGCTTATTTACTCATCCTGTAGCAGCGTGGCTCTTTCTCTATCATCTGCCATACGCAGCTTCATTTCTCCCGAATGTTGCAAGTGACCAATTAGCTTACGGAGATACTCGTAAGTAAGCATTGTGGTCATGGCAGCCGGTACAGCCCGGAATAAGTTCACCCCGATGCCGGAGTAGAATGCGCGCCAGCCTTCCTCCCTCAGAATGGTCTGAAATGTACGGATAATGCCCGTATACCGCGGGCGGTTGGCCATGCCGTCCGATGAGGCCGCTCCTGGGGGCCTCCCGCGGTCTTGTGGGTGATCTAACCCTCCACGAAATGTGATCTCTTCGGGAGAAGGTGCTGGAGATGTCCTTTGCTGTGTCTGAAGTCTTGTTCGTAGCACTTCATGCGGGTAGGTTAAAGTGCTGGCACAAATTTTGCTTAAGAATGTCGCACAAGATATGCCAATCCAATGGGAGCCACCGTTATCAGGATGTTCCCCTATACTGTACCCCGTAAACGCCATTTTCAAGTATTCGTATAGCGGGAATTGAATGGCGACGTGCGTCAAACCGAGTAACGCCGGGGTCAGTCCAGAATAGAATGACCTAATTCCTTCGGTCCTGTACATTTTGCGGGCTGCATCCCAAGTGCTTGAGTACTGCCATGGAGCCGTGTAGCCTTCACTGTTGGACTTGAGGCTTTGTGACATAAGCCGCGTTTTGATGACCCAGATGGGATTGGTGACTATAGTAGAGCAAGCACCAGCTGTTATTGATGCATAGCCTCTGGAAAGCCACCAGCTATCTATTAATGTGACACGGGTTATTAGTCCTGATATTCTACCTTCAGAGAAAGGAACACACATACCGGTGGTTTCGTAGAAGTATTCTCGAGATCGGTCATAGACAGCCAAATATACGGCCCAGGTAGGCAGATATCCCAAGAGCATGGGTCCCAATCCTTGATATAGACCCCGAATTCCATCTTGCCGCCATATGATCCGCCCAGTACCTAGCATACCTCGGTAGAGGGTTTTTGCCTCGACGACTCCGCCGCCTCGTCGGAGAAATCCGCCTTGCGCCTGCAGCTTCGTCTTGATCACATCAAGGGGGCATGTGACAATTCCAGAGGCCACACCCGCACTGGCGCCGCAGAAGGGCGCAATGTAGTAATCCGGTATCTTTGTGGACCATATTTCAAGATTTGTGACGAACTTGGGGCTGGACGGAGCTTCAGGTGGAATTTGCACGTCGGATGACGCAAGGTTGTTCGAGTGCGATATCTGCTGCTCTTCAGAGCTGCTGGCGGCTCCTGAATTGCCGTGACCGTCGGAAAACATCGCTCCGGTCAGCTCCCCTAGCAGCTTTCTCTGTCCGTCTTTGCTATCAACGAGGGCTCCCGGAACCGAGCATGTCGGTGCTCGCTCCGGAACCCAGCAAACCCTATTCTGACCAGGTCTCGATGTAAATATTTCTTCGTCAATTAAAGCGGTACGAGGAAGCGACACAGTCTGGCTTCGGCGACTGAAGGAATAAGTGTAACTGAGCTGATATTGGCGAATGCGCTGATATGCCTGGAATTTTGCTTATTCGGAGGTGCAGAAGGGGCGGGGCCGGTAGCGGTGACAGTTTCAGTGTAGGAGCAAAAATGTAATTCAACGGATGATGAACCCCATACCAAACCGGCAAGCGATACCGGGTCTAAATATTGTAAAGGAGAGGAAGTCTGATCGATGGGAAGACTGGAATACAAGGCGAGAACCGGGCCGCGCGGATGATTGTGGCCAAGATCAATCAACGTACCTGTTTCGGCAGTCATGTGGAGTGGAATGACTTAGCTACTGAATATATTCCAGTCCCAAGCGCCAGGGCCGCCGCCTGAGGCATGATTATCACATGACATAGATCGGAATCCTCACGGCCATTTTTGATGCCTCAGGCTGCAAAATCGGATGTTTTTGGGAAAGTCATCCCGGCCGGACCTCCGTTTTGCACAATCTCCAACGTCGGGTCACTCTTTGCAGCTTGACTGACCTCTCGCGATCTCCCTCCCGCACCACGCCCTCAATTGGATTCGCATCCACATCTATCTGGGATCCGTCACCATGTCCGCTCCTTCTCTCACCAACTACATTGTCAAGCGCCCATGGCTCAAGCGCTGGATGACGCCACTTGCCCAGTGGTACACCGACGCCGCCGGCTACAGGAAACTCGGATTGAGGTAACCAACCCCCGCCTTCAACCCTCCCAGTATGAGCGCCAGATGAGCATGTTATGCGACAGCAACGTCCTTGAACCTTACCGCTGCTACACGACGTCGGATTGTGCATCATTTCTCTCTGGTCGCTATCTGGGACACATGTTACTCCTGACCAGTCTGTGCAAGCAGTCAAGCTGATTATTCTCAGATTCGATGACCTGATTCCCGAGGAGAGCGACGTTGTTCAGACGGCCATTAAGCGTCTTCCTCCCAAGGAGGCCTACGACCGCGTCTTCCGTATCCGCAGAGCTTTCCAGGTGCGTCTCTATCTAGATCGCTCCAGGACATCAACGCTAATTTGCCTCATCAACACAGTGCTCCGTTTCCCACACCCTCCTTCCCGCTCACGAGCAGACCAAGCCCGAGGAGGTGAGTTGATTTCGCATTTTCATACTTGCTCCAGCGTCGTCAATTCCCCGTATAAGTCTTGGCCAATCCCGTGACGCGGATTTGTCAACTGGGTTGTATCGGGTTTATTACACTTTCCTGGTCTCGAGATGCGTCCAGAAAGCACTTGTGGGTTATATAGCACCATCATAGATGCTAATTTTGCTCTCTAGGACGTTGAGTACCTGAGCCCCATCATCCGCGAGATTGAGAGGGAGAACAAGGAGCGTGTGGACCTCGACACCCTCGTTGTTAGACGGTAGATGGCTTGGTCCCTAGTCATAACGCATAGAGGATACGGAATCGTGTCACTAGGGTAATAGACGGACGGAAAAATAACGAGGAAGGGGTTGTACGATTTAGCGGCTGTGCTTTGCCTACGAGCCTGCGGCTGAATTTTGATTGAACATCGGATTTATCGCTCAAGTCGCGTGTACTGTTACTGTACAAATTCATCGTCGTTTTTCTGATCATCTGCTTGTCATGCAAATCCACAACCGCTGTCGTGATGCATGTATGTTCATCCATGGTAGTGGAGACTGGGGCGAGTTTGACCTCCCGATTGTATAATTCTGAGATATATCGGTCAGATTGTGACGATATACATTCCTGCGTATTCGATGCAGTGCTGCCGTCTAAACCAAGCAGTGTCATCTTTCCCAGCGATTCATTTGATCCAATTTGAGTAGTGACTTTATAGTGACTCTATATACTCGAGGAATGCCGTATGCGGGCCTCAAGAGTTCATTACAGTGACATCGACATCCTCTACACGCCACATGTACCACATGAAAAGGCTCCTGCGACGCTAGCGTGAGAAAAAAGTCTTATGGCTCAGCTTCGCTGAGGTAAGTGAAGAAATTGCGATACCAACTTACCTGTAGGGGGCGAACTTTGCAGCCAGTTCCAGCATGTCTTTCTCAGCCATGTACTTGAACTTACCGCCTCCTTTAGCCTTTAATTTGCTCACGTCCTTTCCCATGAACGCCGCGCAGCCTCTCCTGTTTTCATCATTAGCGGATTATGCTTGCCAGGAGTAGTGGAACGCATATTGCTGCGCTGAGGTTTGGCAGGGCCGATGATTAACTTACTGCACGCCAAGATCTCCAGTGGAAAAGACATCGATGCGCTTCAACGCAAAGCAGGCAAACATCTCAACGGACCATCTACCTAACCCTCGGACTGCAATCAACTTCTCCATGAGCTCTTCGTCACTGGCATTGAGCAGCATTCTCGCGCTCAGTTCCCCGGTAGCGAATTTCTGGGATAGCCCGTGGATGTATTCGGCTTTTCGCTGGGAAAGTCCAGCGGTGCGTAGCGTAGCAAGGTCGCATTGGGCGACCTCCTCTGGTGTTGGGAACTGACGCGGCTTCGCAGGGTCCTGTCCGTCGTTTTCCCTGTTGAACAAAGCCACGAATTTGTCCTTGATAGATCGGGCTGCAGCGCCTGACACCTGTTGTCCGATGATACTGCTGACGAGGCTGCGGAAGGGGTCGATTTCCTCGGCCAGTCCCTCAGGGGAAAATAGAGGACACGGATGTCGCCTAATGAGCGGCTCCAGGCGTGCGTCTGTAGCGATTAGACGTGCCACGGCTTTCTCGAGGAGGGTACCAGTCGTAGCGGTTGGACGGGGTCGACCGGTCTTGGAGGGTGAGAGACTCTCCGAGCCGGGCGGGTAGGCGACGAGAGAGGAGCCATGGGGTGTTAAAAGTGTTGCATTTGTCCTATGCGGTTCGACAGGTCGGTCAAGGGGAGGCGGGGTGGCATGTGGTCTGCTAGGAGAGTCGGTAGATATGAGGTCAAAGATGTTATCTGTTTCCGCATTGTCGTTTGAGACGGGTGTGGTTCCGGTATCTGGGAGAGTTACATTGAGAGGAAGCCGTTCAGCACTGATCTTCAGGTCATTGATATCTTTTCTAGACCGGCTTTTCGCTTTGTTGACCCTGCTGGTGGACTGAGGCCTGCTTGATTTCTTTGGTGGACTCGGCGGCTGCGGTGGCAGCACTTTGTTATTGAGCGCCGCAGTCAGGCGGGCCGAGCGTCGGAGGTTCATCATAAGGTCGAGACAACGAGAGACACAGACAGCAGTTGTGTCTCCTTCTCGTCTGTTTTATCTTTGCTAAAGAGTTGATGTCTCTTCGGTGGTCACTTGCTGGGATGACGTGCATCGGTGCTGAGTACATTCACCCAGATCCCGATTAAGTCATCCGCTCTGGCCGAGGCTCGTATTAGGATACTTGTATCCATATTGGCTGTATCAAGGGTCACAAACGGTGCAAAGTCTTTTATACGGCTTTTTGTCGAGTTCTGTGTACGACTGAAGTAGATGACTGCTCTCTATGGCACGATGTAGCTCGCTTCTGATATTGAGGGCTTCATGATTGATTACCGCTCTTTCGCCTACGACTACTCCATCGTCTGTCCACTACTTCATCTAGATCATATTAAAAGCAGAGTTATCTATCTGCCCCATTCAGAATAAAGTATTTACAGAAAACTTGACTGTATTATGTCTCGCACAAACTATGAACCAGCTTTTAACTGCTGATTTCCGAGTAAGGATTAGCAATCCCGTCTGGTATGTTTGCGCAAGCGAATTGCGTTTCTTTTACACAGAGCGCCTCTCAAGAGACTAGCTCAACTGCCAACTAGCAGGGAACTTTTGGGTTACAACTTATTCAAATAGTATATCAAATTGACAATGCATGGTGCGCTCCCTGCGGTTCAGACAGATTCTAATGTCGTCAGATCTGTCGTCGAGGGGAGGTAGTATGCTCTGGTACGCTGCAGAAGAATAAGCGATTGCTGCAAATACAAGGATACCCATATAATATATTTATCAGAATATGAGCAACCCGTATAACCCGCCTTTCCTGCGCTCAAGTCCACCATATCCTCAAACGACTTCTGGCCATCTATCGACTCTTGTGTAGAATAAACATATCTCTAACGCGTCGAGTCGGGCTGATACAGCCTAGAACTTAATGGCATGCACCCCCAAGCCGCAATGGCCATAATAAAGATTGTGGAAATTTTCGTGATGGAAGCCCGTTCTTTCGAAGATGAAGAGCAAGGGACAAGGCCACAAGATGTTAGTTAATAGCTAGAGAACTATGTTACGGAAAAGGAGAGCCAAAGACAATATTCCTTCGACGGGGGAAACTCAGTGCTTAATGACGCATTAAGGTCCTCAGTTGGTTGCTCTATGCCAGTTAATTCTAAATCGGAGGCACGAGGGCCAAGATTGAACTCTGCGAGTATTAAATAAGGCTTCTTACTCAAGCAATGGCGGTAATACCGACTATGCCGTGATATCCCAATATTCACAGAACACTGTCAGCAGCCCTTCAGTACTTCCTAAGGCGCATTTTATAATCTTATATTTGTCTTTGCATTGCATGGGGCATACTTCCTAGGAGGAAATCCTAGGAATGAAAGTTTATGAAGTTCGTTTCATTCCTGTAGTTGACGTCTCTGTGCGAAGACCACATATATTGAGATAGAACAGGCTGACATCTTGAGCTGCTTATGACTTGGCTCTTTCTACGGCTGGGCTGACGGAAATTCACGAGGGTGAATCCATGGGACAAGAACCACGTGTGAACAGAGCTAGGCCATTATCTATAATTAGCAGGATCCTGAGAGTATCAGGGATTTCTTATGACACTTAGCTAGGAGCTCCAGAAGCAATAGATCTGATATAATTATGATATTCAATTACAGAGGAAGGGGTGGCACAATGCATGGGGCATGATGAATGGATTTATGGCGAAGATGCCTCATCAAATCCCTGGCATGGAGGCGAAGCCGTGAAAAGAAAATGATGAAGTGTGATATGAGGTTGAAGCAGCAATGGAGGGCAACTTTATAGAACATGCACATCAATGCCACGGAATAACAGGGCGCATTTCCAAAATGGGGATGTTATACGGAGCACCGTTTCCAGTAATTCGCCATCACCACAGAGTAAAGAGTAGAGGCAGAGTAAAAGGAGCCATGTTATGCGTACTTTAGCAGACATCTACAGGTACTCTGTAGTCAGTTGTACTGTGCAGTTTGTGTACTTCGACTATTTGGCCTTATTTGTTGTTACATTCAGCCACCCGTCCTATGTGGCGCTCTGGGGAACGTGCTTGACGAATGGTCGCTAAGGTTACACGCAGTTGTACTGGTAACTTAATGCACAGGTACGGAGTTACAGCGGGGTGACGTCGAAGTAAATCTTGAGCATCAAAGTAGGATAGCGCAGCAGTGATAACAAACTCCGTCCAATTGCTAGAACGAGGGCTGGTTGAAATTTCGAACAGGTCATTATCAACGTTCTGACCAAGAACTTATCCATTATTGTGATATGCAAATAGCCATGGATATCAGTGGAGCTCTTTGACTCCTAATCATAACTGGGCAGTGTGGATGCGAAAAGAACTCTGAAGGGACCGAGACGCAAACATTGACAGTCATGGATCATTGATCCCCTAAACATACAATGGCCAGATGAAGCGAGCCCGCAACTAGAAGAATTGATTTTGATAAAGCCCCATAATATAATTGGTCGGCTCCTTGCTCTATAGATCATGATCTGTTGAACTATTCAATGACTAACTGGTTATATGTGATTACATTAGTGCCATGCTCATCGGGCCTTTCTTTCTGCACACCATACTTACTTGACAGGCGAGTCACCATAGAGAATGTACAGTACCTGAAGAATCAAGTAGACAGTCTAGAATTTGAGGTGAATTGACTTGGCGATCCCTCAGGTTTGCATATTTTTAGCTCTATCTATAATTTTGCCATGAAGGCATAGCTTCACAATTGCAGGATTGTTTCGTGGATCCGCTAACCTACTTAAGTGGGTCTGACCAATATATGAAGTCTCTTCGATGGTACTGGTAAGTTACAGAACTTATTTTGTTACCTATGATCCTAGGTTGGGAGAACACTCCTAACGTCGATATAAGAATGCGATTATTGAGCTGTTGAGAAATTGAGTACTTTGTATCATTATTTCCAGACTGTGCCAACGTGTGCGGTGTACTAGGAGTTGCGTATACAGTTAGCTACCCGCGCAGAGCTTGCCAAAGAAAGGAAGAAGCAATATCGGGCCGCACGCATACTCGCCACTTAATTAGGTAGTTTTAGTCTGGCCGTCTCAATTGAGGTCCCAGTCGCCTAGTGGACGGCACTTTGCCTACTTTGCCTTGTGCCTGACCCCAGTGGCATAATGATGATGAAAACATACTTAGACTAGAGCTCTGTAGCGTTGGCGGGAGGATCGTGGGATCCAGGAAACTTCATGGACAATAATCTATCTACACAGTACATAGTAGAACGACACTCTAATATTATGGAGTAGATAGCCAGGAAATAAAATGTAGTACCCTATTTTTAACGTTCAATAGAGATCGTTTGCATGGCAGAAAGTGGCAGGATTGACAATATATCAATCTAGCTTGCAAACGGCGCAATGGATTTCTGAATCCCAACCTCCTTGAGGCTTTTGATATTCTCACATTCCATAATCCGTAGCCCAGGTGATGACACTCATGCCAGGAGAGCGTACCCATTGCTTCGAGAATTTCGTCTTGTTGCCGAACTTGTTGTCTCGCCATCAAAGACATGGCTTACTCCTTATTAAGGATTCCAGTTTCTGAAACAATAACATTCTAAATGCCTTACACCATATTGATTAACTATAGCTGCTTCCATCGAAAGTCCTCTGAACCTGGACAAACTGAACCGAATTGTAGATAGCGCTAGTGCTAGTCATAGCAAAAGGCATTCGTGGTTAAGTATCATCGATTATGAATGATTGGATGTGGCTATTATTTGTTTACAATGTTGCATTTGGATTTATCTTGGGGAGGGAGTCTGGCCACGGCAAACAATTTAACTAAAATCTTGTCGATACTTATGTATTTCAGAAAATGTATCAATTGTATGGATTACAGCAAGTAAGGTACTTGTTCACTGGTTCAAGAGATAGTTCAAACCCATCCTTTTTCCTAGATGACGGCTTATGGCCAAGAGATTTGATGTAATTAGGTTCGTACTCCTGTACTATTGCTGCAAAGGAAATAGCGACCTTTATAACAGATCATACCTTTATTGCTGGTTCAAGAGGATCAACAATAAATGGGATACAAATTCTGACGATTACCAAATTGTATTGTAACCAGGAACATACCTAACCTACGTCCAAGATTACGTATCTCAACCACCTCGGCCACGATAAACAAAAGGGAATGGTGCGCTTTGAATGGTCAAAAATGACGGGAACCAGAATGGAGCCACGGGGCGAATCATTGGTGAAGCATTGCTGCACAATTATTGGTGACAAAGTGTTACAGAACGGAGCTAACTAGGAGCAACGGGCTCATTTCCGAGCTTGAGAATCAGGATTCCTGGAGCGCAAATCTGGCTTGTGACGCACCTAGTGTATTTTCCAGTGTATTAGTCTCTGAATTCATCACTGGGAAAAAAATAAGGACCTAAGTAAAAAATAGTAACTGTCTTACAAGAAGATGTGCATCAAGTAAGTTTACCGGTCCCGGCGCTGGGGCCACGCCTCCTTTCTTGTCTTGTCCTCCCTAAAGGCACTTTCCTTTCCCACTGCCTTGTCTTTTTGAAGGTTCCTTTCCAGTCCATCCCATCCAGTCTTTTTGTTCTCTTTTCTTCTCCTTCTTTCCCTTCATTCTTCTTCTTGTTCATCCAACGTGCTTGCCTAATTAGTCCACTTTCGTTGAAGGAATCACCGCTTACAGCTTCTCCTTCGTTTCGACCTCACCTTCTTTCGCTCGTTCATCTAATTTTGTCTGCCAAACTTCTGCAGCTACTGCCATCCGCCCATATTGACCTCTTAAGGGCCGAGCATCGCCCGTTCTACATCTCTAGCCCATTGATCATTGGTAAGTCTCATCACGTCCATCTCTATCTCTCTTCTCTTCCCCCTCTCTCATCTCCTCTTTCATTATATTCGCAGTGCGGTCTTTTTCTGCTCGCGAAGATGGATTGTCGTGGGACCATTTCTTGACCGCAGCCTCCGAAGCCTCCTAATGGCATTACTGACCTTGTTTTGAGTATTTAGTATAAACAACATTTAGCAATGGCTTTCCTCAAGTACGCTCTTCCTGTCCTGGCTGCAGCCCAGGCGGTCTTTGCTGCCGGTGAGTGAACCATCACCCTCGACTCCGACGAATCAGAAATTGCGAGGGTGGGAGCTGATTGTTTGCACAGACTGCGGTAAGGCCGGTGAGACCATCACGATTAACAGCCAGAGCGATGCCGATGGCTACGCCTCCTGCTCGACCATCAAGGGTACCATCGAGATCGACCAGCACATCTCGGGCGCTATTACCTTCAACAGTGTGAAGCAGATTGACGGCACCCTCAGCTGCACCGGTGGCGCCAACATCTCTACCATCTCGGCGCCTATGCTGAACTCCATCGCCGAAGCTTTCAAGCTGAATGGCCTTACCACTCTGACCACCCTCAGCTTCCCCTCTCTTACGAGTGTGGGATCGATCGAATGGACTGCTCTGCCTCAGCTTCAGAGTCTTGAATTTACCAAGGGTGTCAAGGAGGCCGGTGATGTCACGATCACCAACACCGGTCTGGCTAGCCTGAACGGTATCTCTCTGAACACCGTTGGTCGGTTCGACATCACTGAGAACACGCAGCTCAAGTCCATCAACATCAACAACCTCAAGAACGCAACTGACCTGATCAACTTTGCTGGTAACCTGAACTCCCTTGAGGTGGAGCTGCCCAACCTCTCCAGTGGTACCAACATGACCTTCCGCAACGTCAGCGCTGTCTCCATCCCCTCTCTCCACAATCTGACCGGCCAGCTTGGCTTCTGGGGTGACTCCTTCACGTCTTTCAGCGCTCCCAACCTGACCTCGACCGGTGACCTGGTTTTCAACGCCAACACCAAACTCACTAACATCAGCATGCCAGCTCTCGAGAATGTCAACGGTGGTTTCCTGATTACCCGTAACGACAAGCTCAGCACCATTGATGTGCCCTCCCTGCAGGTCGTTACTGGTGCCGTTGACTTCAGCGGCAATTTCGACGAGTAAGTGGCCTTTTTCTGCCGGCCGAAATATGGCACAATATGCTAATCAAATCACAGGGTGAACATGCCCAAGCTCGAGAACGTCAAGGGCCAGTTCAACTTGCAGAGCACCGGAAACTTCAGCTGCACCAGCTTTGACAAGGCCAAATCCGACAAGATCATTAAAGGTGCCTACAAGTGCAAGGGTGGGGAGCCCAACCCTACTACAAAGGACGGATCTTCTGGCACCACCACCACTAGCAGCGGCAGCTCTGCTTCTGCTTCCAAGTCTAGCGCTGCTGATCTCAACGCTGCTAACCTCCCCGCTCTCGGATTCGCCGCCGTTTTTGGAGCTCTGGTGCAGTACGTTTTGTAAAGGATGGCCGATATCAGGAAATTGCATGTGGTTTTGTTTGTTTTCCAAAACTCCTCCTGGGGGTGTGTAGAGTTGTCTAATAAGCCATGGTTTTTTTGATTGCAGTGCTTTTACTGTTTTTATGATAATAATCAAATCTCATTTGAGCAACCTTACAAAAGTTCAAGACCTGAATCTACTCGCCGGATGGTGTGTGGAGGCTGTTGCCTCTTGCGCAGTTAACACTGATTAGATGGCGGCTGTGCTTGACGTCGTGCGGACTTTGTAAGATCTGCGTAAGATTATCTGCAGTAGGTACAAACAAGTCGTGGACATAGCACAAGCTCGTGTATGTGCATCAGATCGGATACATGCATGCATATATCCGACACCTGCACCAGGACACGCATCCGTGGGAGTTTGTTTTCCTGGGAAACTACTCATGGTATCATGGAAGACGACAGGTTGAGCATTCAGAGACCTCTATGTGCGTTACTTCACGGATGAAATCTCGCGACTAGGTAAGGGAAAAAAGCGGACAGAAGAAGAGAGCAACATTCAGTTGGAGCCGTTCGCTTTTATCAATTGAGAACGCCACGCTAAGAGAAAGCCGAAACACTGGAAGACAGAAAAGGGATATGAATCAAGCAGATGCAACTAGATCATATGGAAACGAGCGTCAACCGCCCTTTGTTCTGGGAGGTGGCCGCGATGTGATGGGCGCCGTACCGTAAATTAAGAGCATTCATTAGACCGAAGGAGAATACGAGATTTGGAAAGTTCATCGTCATCCGCATAACAAATCTCAGACTTCTAGAGAGCAGGATTCTCCTTGACAACCTGGCGCACGCGCCGCTCGTACGCCGGCCGGTCCTTCTTGAATAAGTTGTATGCTTCAGCTTGCGCGGGGGACTCTGGGTTCGGGTCGTCGAGTAAGTCTTGGATTCCCAGAAGGATCTGCTTAATTGTGATGGCGGGCTTCCAGGCTTCTTCTTCGTTGAGGATTGAGAGACAGACGGTGCCGGAGGGGTAGACGTTGGGGTGGAAGAGTGGGGGGACGAATTTGCCTGTGTCGTTTGCGACGTCAGATTCAACGATCTCAAAAGGATGCAGAAGAGGTGGCAATATAGATGGATATATCATGCCAGTAGTCAGGAAGGAAATACGTACATTTCGGCGGCTTGGTCGGATATTCTATTCCAGTAAGAGAATGGTCAGCACATTCGCCTGCTATACAAGGACCGAGCACCAGCACGAGCACAAGCACAAGCACAGGCAGGCTTACCATCTGGAAAGACAACGTCGAGCTTGAACAGCCCGCCTTCCCACAGCGTATTCGCTTTCCCCGGGATACCGCATTCCCAGCGCTTCAAATCCAGCACGCCCTGAGGTGTCCGATGAGGCTTTGCGTAGAAGCCAAACGGGTGGTCTCGTCGCCATTGCTTCCTGCGCGTGGGGGTGTTAGTTTCTGGGTTGCTGTCGGATGCGGAGTCGTGGATGTGTTTGCGCGGCGCGAGGGTGACCTGGGCTGGTAGACATACCGTTCTTCTGTGAGGCGGTTTAAACACAGGGACATGGTGAGTCGGCGATGTGAAGTGGTTACAGGACGAGATTTGCTTTAAGGTCGGAAGAGGCGATTACGGTGAGTTCTTGGAGGAAATGACCAAGGAGGATTCGTCGCGGAGGATATATAGAGAGGGAGAATGGAGACAGGTAAGAAAGGAGGAAGTGAGAGGAAAGAGATAAGAGTCACAGACTAAGAGGCTCCAAGTGAATGGCCACCAGATGAGGCTTTTCCAGTGTTGCTTAATGATTTGATACCCCACAGCCAATCGGGTCTCCACTGATAAATCTCACAGTAATGATCATGTGACCTCTATAGTTTTCAGTGGCCAACGTGCGGAAGGAGATGGAAGCATAAAGGTACCCATGTTTGTCCGCCAGGTTGTGTTAACAGAATAAGGTGATTAAGAAAATGTCTTCTCTAGTGATCAGCATGGACAATCAAGCGCTGTTCTGCTTTATACGCCTAGAATAGCCAACACAAAGAACAGCAAGTTGGATCAATCTTAGCGCTGTCCCAAGACTCAAGTATCGCCTCAGGTATCTTCATCTGCGCTACACTAGCATTCGTTTTTGATATGCCGCTTCGTTGGAAATGCAGAATTGTCACTCTCCGTGTCCTTTGCCCCATACCGATCCCAGCTACTGCTGTTACATATCCTGCATACATGTAGTCAGATTTGGGTATGACTGCTATAGTAACAAGACATTGAATTTCGCAGTGATATGAGTTTGCACACTGGTGCAACGTCAGCAAATCCCTCAAGTGGAGCCTCGGAGCGGCAGAGTCAGGATCGCTTGATATTCCAAGCACGGGGTTGGCAGACAAGAAGCCCGCCAGGAAATCGATGAAGCGCAAGGCTGCTGCTATCCTAAAGACGCGAAAGTCCGCACCTACACGGATGGAGTCGAAAGGTTTGAGCTCGCAATCATCTGATTTTCATAGTTTCATAATGTTCATCTGTCCAGACATTATCACGGCAGATAACATGACCTCAGAAGGCAGGCCCGAGTCATATCATTGACTGACTAGCAATGAAACCCATGGATGTGCTGTACGTGTTCCTTGTTCCTATGCTTGCTACCGATCGTCATATATCCCTTCTTCGAATTTCTGAGTGTCATAGAAACGTGCTGTGATTGTGTTGCCGTTGAACACTCGGCCTTCTAGGGCATTCACCGCCTGATACATTTTGTTAGCGCCCGGACTGGATGGCCGTCTGAATTCTGAAATACTCACGCGTAAGGCCGATAACTGGTTAGTAAATTTGACGAAGACCGGCACTGGGGAACCAGATTCACGGGAAATGAAGACACGCTCCACACGACCGTACTGTTTTAGTGTTAGATGGTAGCAACCCAGTCATAAACAGAGAAGCGTACCTTTTCTGAGCATTCCTCGCCAATCTCTTGCATCAGCCCGCCGTCTTGATCACCCTCGAGTTCAGCATCCAGATCCATCCCCTCAAGCATACCCTTGAGGACGATGACTTCGCTCATACGGCCGAACTTGCCCTCCTCTTCATCCGCTTTCCTCTTACCACCAATGATTTTGCCCCTGCCAGCAGGAGTAACAAAACCACCGCCTTCCGAGTCTGGCCGCTTCTTTTGCTTCTCGACTTTGACCTGCAACGGTTTGACGATACCCGAACCCGTGGCACCCAAGCCAGATCCCTTGGTCCACCCATACTTCGCCAGCAATCTCTCAGCAAATCCCTTTTGTCCCGGTCGGAGTGAGCGCTGGCCATCTTCTTCGTCGGGTACTTCCTCCGCAGGCTCTTCCTTCGCAAAGACTTCTTCAAGCTCMGCTTCTGTGGCGGGAATATCTTCCGGAGGCGGAGGCAGGGTATATCGGACCGGCGCACGAGAGATAGTGGCAGAGGCTGGCTGCAGCGCATCCAACGGCCGAGACGGAGGCGGAGGAGGCGGCTGCAGTGCAGGCTGAGCTGCTGCCGCCATTTGCACCCGTCTCAGGTAGGCATATTCACCGGTGGGGTCATCCGGAATTGGAGCAGACGGCTCTTCTGGGGGAGGCGGAGGCGGAGGCGGCGTCTGAACAGACATTAATGTATCCGGTTGACCTGCCGTCATGCGCGCGCGTCGAGCAAATGCATCGTCTCCTGTGGCCTCATCGAGCGGTGCAGGAGGGATATCGTTGAGATTAGGCGGAGGCGCGAAACTCTTTGGAGGCGCAAATTGTCCTGCAAAAAATTGTGAGCAATTGAAACGTTCGCAGCCGCATACAAAGGAAAGCATACTGTTCATTGGTCTCGATTCATCGTCGCTATACGAGTTCCTGCTCGGCGACCGTGCCATCCGGTGTGCGTAGAGGCGATCTTTCCACTCGCGCACCTCGGCAATCTGCTCATCACTATGCTTATACTCTTCGTAGATGTTCGGTCTTGAAGGGTCGTAGATGTCATCCCAATTCTGGACGAACGCCTGCGCTTCTCGGTTCTTCTTGCGCTTTTTGCGCCCGCCACGCTGTCTCTTCTCGCCAACGTAGAATCCATTGACATCGTCATCCTCGGTTGCCGCCCAGTCCGCAAGAGTAGTCTTCACGGGAGGAGCCGGCGCAGACGCAGTAGCAGGGGTAGTCTTAGGTAGCGCTGGTTTCGGCTTAGGCTTCTGAGCCGCTAGCTGTGGTCTTTTCGTAGGCTGAAATCGAAGAGAAGCTGAATACCCGAGAAGAGAAGAAGGCCAAGTGAGCAATCAGATCGTCAAAATGGGATACATGAAGAGAACTTCTCGATCACGAAAGAAGGGTATGAGCTCTACCAGCATTTAATTGCTGCTTTTTGGCAGCTGAATCATCTGTCTGTGAGTCGCCTTCCGAAGCCTGCTTGAAGACAACCGGAGCGCGAGAAATTGTTCCGGGAGAGGATGTATTGGACGATGGGTCGAGGAGATTCGCATAGAGAGACAGGCCTCCCCCTTTGGATGGGGTCGAATCCGAGGCCATGGATAAAAGTATAAAAGAATAAGACGTAGGCAGAGAACAGAAGAGATAGTTCAATACATAAGACGGAGAAACAAGATCTATAACATTGTTCCTGCGAGGAGGATGGTTGAAGAGTTGGAGATGCGGAGTAATTCCATGCATAAGGATGTTTGCTCGACTTGCACTGTTTGCCATATTTGGCTTCCTTACATAATCCACCCGGGGCCACCCGCTCAGGAGAAAGGACAGGGGAGGAAGAGCGCGAAACTGGGGCCTACGAGAACTGACGACTAATCCGAGCTTTCGCAACTAAGTCCGAGGACCCATGGGTTTGACCATCATGGATATAATAATGGCGCATCTACGTCAGTTGCGTAAGATACGTGAGTCGTATCCGCAGAATCCCTACGTTCAACCTGTATCATCTATCCTAGATATCTATCTTTTCCATCACTGTAAATAACCCCTAAACGGCCAAGGCACACCATAAGAAGGATGGCCACTCTAGCACAGTCCC